GCTGAGTTGTTTTCACATCTGTCTGGTACAGGCAATGGGGCTACGTGAAGGTACAGGTTACTTTGCAGGCAAAAAAGCTGAGGATATAGGATAGGCAGCTTTTTGTCATTTTAGGAGTCGGTTTTCACTGTCACCCTCAGTTCCCTATTGCTGCTGTAACAAATTACCACAGACTTAGTGGTTAAAACAACACAAATGTATTGTCTTACAGTTATGGAGGTTAAAAGTCTAAAATGGGATGCGGGGCTGCATTCCTCCTGGAGGCTTTCAGGGAAAATCCTCTCCTGGCCTTTTCTACCTCTCAGATAGGGGCTGCCTACATGCTTTGGCTGCTGGCCTGTGTCATTCCAGCCTCTGCTTCCATCCTCCATCTCCTTCTCTCACTCTGACCCTCTTGCCTCTGTTTCACAAGCATCCATCAGGATAATCCAGGCTAATCCAGAACTTAATCACATCTTCAAAGTCTCCTTGGTCATATTAGACAACACACACACACACACACACACACACACACGCACACATACACACACACACAGGTTCTGAGGATTATACTGGACATCCTGTGGGGGGTTGGGGGAATGGGGGGCACTGTTCCGCCTACCATACCCTCCATTTGGACCCTTTGATATGACCTCCATATTCGGGTTTTTTTTTCTGTTATTTTACTGCTACCCCTGAGAACCCTGTATTTTCCCCCTAGTTCCAGGACAAAGTAGCCCTAAGCTTTCCATTTATCTCTTCTTGTCTACTGAATTAAATTTTTTTCCTTCCTTCCTTCCTTCCTTCCTTCCTTCCTTCCTTCCTTCCTTCCTTCCTTCCTTCCCGTCTCCTTCCTTCCTTCTCCCTCTCTCTTTCTCTTGTTTCTGGTGTTAAAATACCTGGCTTTTTTTTTTTTTCTTTCTGAGACGGGGTCTGGCTCTGTCGCCCAGGCTGGAGTGCAGTGGTGCAATCTCCGCACACTGCAGTCTCCGCCTCCTGGGCTCAAGCGATTCTCCTGCCTCAGCCTCCCGAGTAGCTAGGATTACAGGCAGGTGCCATCATGCCTGTCTTTTTGTATTTTAGTAGAGATGGGGTTTTGCTATGTTGGCCAGGCTGGTCTCAAACTCCTGACCTCAGGTGATCCTCTCGCCTCAGCCTCTTAAAGTGCTGGGATTACAGGTGTGAGCCACGGGGCCAGGCCACAAAGTAATGCTACAGATTTATTTACTAAGCATTTAATGAAAACTACTACTTGCTATGAGGATGCTGTGAGCAGATGCTGCCCCTGCAGCAATGAGGTTCAGCCGGGAGAGGGAGAAGGCTCTCCCGTGAGAGAAGTGTTTCCAAGGAGAAGTACAGTGTGTAAGGGGACTCAGTGTCAGCTCCTGGTCTACACTGAGGGCCTCCTTAAGGAAGTGACATTTGTCAAAACCTGGACTCATATTGGAGCTTTGGGGCTCTTTTTCAGGATAACATTGAGCTCTTTCTGCTTGTTTCTGTTGAGGAGTTTCCTCGTGCAGAGGAGGCAGGAAGGCTCCAGGGACCACCTGATAAAGTTGAGAGAAAAGGACGGCCTTGGAGTTGCTAACAAACTTGTTTAGATCTGTCCAGAGGATGCCGGAGGCTCATGGGGCACAGGGCTCTAGACCCTAGTATTTCTGCATTCTTTCTACCAGGCTGTGCTTCCCTCCAGGAACCGGAGCAAAGAAATAGGCCATTTTCTGTTTTGTCCACTGGGTGGAGTATTTTAGCCAACGAAGGGGGCTTTGGCAGCAGTGACTTTGTAGGCGATCTTTGCCTTGGAGAAGAGGCAAGCTTGGACTCGTCCGGAGTCACGCCCATCAAAACCCTCCTCCGCAGCTAACATTCATCAAACTTCATCACACCTGTGTGTTGGGCTGAGGCCCATCCTGGTAAAAGAAAATCTTGTAACAGATTTTAACATCTTAGAGCCAGAAAGGGGGCCGTAGGAGCTTGGTGACTCTAACCCTCTTTCACAAATTTCGAGTGCTAGGGCCCCAGCCTGAGGGCTCCTAACCTAATCACACAGGCAGGCGGAACCCAGGTCTCCTGCCTTTCTGGGGGCGGTTCTTTCTCGCTAAGCCGCCTCAGAGGCACCCAGATAGAGACCTGCAGACCTTCGAAGGGAGGCGTGAGAAAAGACATACGTTTCTCTTTGTAGATAAAATGGTCTGAGAGAAAATCATTCTGCCACCTGTCAAGAATAAACAAAGTAAATGAGCTAGGTTAGATTAAGGGACTCTAGGTGGCCAACACTCACAGTGAAGGACTGGAAATGGTTAGGAAAACAAGGGGCCTATGCCATATATTGTGACAACAATAAACATTTATTTGTATTGATTTGTGTGTTTTGTTCTACCGCTTGTTCAAAAACAAAACAAAAAGTACCTACTAATGGCACATAAAACATTTCAGCACAACCACATAAACTAGAAGTGCATGACACATTGGCTTGGGCCGCAGTTAAAGCTGGAACAAAACAGCTGATTTGCAGGAGGTAAGGTTGACTCAGAAATGTGTGAAGCATTCTTTGTTTAAAAAATAAATGAATTGGCTGGGCCGGGTGGCTCATGCCTGTAATCCCAGCACTCTGGGAGGCTGAGGCAGGCGGATCACCTGAGGTTGGGAGTTCAAGACCAGCCTGACCAACATGGAGAAACCTCGTATCTAATAAAAATACAAAATTAGCCAGGCGTGATGGTGCGTGCCTGTAATCCCAGCTACCCGGGAGGCTGAGGCAGGAGAATGGCTTGAACCTGGGAGGTGGAGATTGTGGTGAGCCGAGATAGGGCCATTGCATTCCAGTCTGGGCGGCAAAAGCGAAACTCCATCTCAAAAAAAAAAAAAAAAAAAAAAAAAAAAAGAAAAGAAAAGAAAAAGAAAAATAATTAAAGTTGGTGATCAATAAGGCAGAGGAAAAACAAAAATAGGAAAATGAAAGGCCGATAGAAAATAAGCCTGGCATGTTAAATGCAAACTATGAAAACCTACCTCTTGCTGAGAGTGGGGCATGAATGTAGACCTCATATCTACCGTGGCTGCTTGGGGGAAACATGATCACCACAGCATATGTCAGTGGCTGCCTGTTCTCAGGGCTGGGCTGCCTGGCCCAAATCGAGTCCGTGATCTAGGGGCAGGAACTTTCCACAGCTTAGGCTTTTCATAGTAAACCAGACTTGAAGGCTAAACTAAATTTTAAAAAATTATTTCTTTTCCCTTATAGTTTTGTCAATTATAAGTCAGAAGGAAATTCAAGGACTTTGACTTTAAATATCTCCCGATTTTTCAGTAACAGTTAAACCTACTTACATATTAAGAAAAGTGGAGCAAATTCTAAATAAAGGTAACCCAGTGAGATCAAGACAACTGGGAACAGTTTGGGGAGGCTGACCTCAAAAAGACAAGACACACATTGTTTCACTCAGAAATCTTTTCCCCCTTAAATTTCCTAAAGAAAGCAGAGATCTTGCATGCTTGCCACTGACTTGGAAAGCTAAGTGCACCTTAGCATGGATATTCTTGGCTCCATCTTTTGAAAACTTAGAGACTACACCATTAGAAAGAATGGAAGGCTGTCAAGGGTTTTAGTGATGGGTTCTTCAAGGCCCCAACTTCCTGCACATGAAAGTGTAGCATCAAGACAACCCCTCATCAGCCTGACTCTCAATGTAAGGCCCTCTGACTGCAGGGGAGCCTTGCCTTACTCATAGAGGCCACAGGTCTTCTCTTTGCCCTCTAACGCCTGCAAAAGCTGTGTGTGACAGAGTACTCTGTCTTTTCAAAGCTGATTTATAACTGAAGGAGAACAGAAACTTGGTCAGAATCATGAGTGCCCTAGATGCCTTTGAAGAGTGGAGAGACATGACTGGACTAGGGTTGGACTGGAAGAGATGCTCAAGAAGGTACTTAAGAAAAGGGGTGTTTGCAAGGGAATCACCCAGAGTCAGAGGCAAGACAACCAGGAGCAGCAGCTTTGAGGCAGGGTGGAATTCTTGCTCTGGCAGTTAGAAACGCTGCAAACTCAGACAAGTTGCTGTTAGCTCAGTGGTGGGATGAGCCCTGATCACTTCTGCCCCAGTTGCCTACTGGATTCAAGGAGAAAATGGACAAGAAAGGGTTCACAAAACATTCATATTAGAAACAGACAAATATCCATTATATAACCAATGTTCCACCAGCTCCAGTGAGAAGGAAGTACAATAGCTACCATTTTTGAGCACCTATTTTGTGCCATGCTTGTTCATCTATGTGTTTTAAACTTTACGGTTATTATCATCCCCACTTTACATAGAGGGGAACTGATCATCAGAGGGGGCAAGTGACCCTCCAAAGTTCATTAGCTGTTAAAAGGCTGAGTAGGGATTTGAGCTGTGAACCTTGTTTCATTTTATTCTAATGAGGACAGATTCTTCTGGTGTCAGCTGGGTTCAGCAGGGTGTCCCTGCACCCCTCGCCCAGTGGCTGGCAGAGGATTTTTAAGAAGAGAGGATGGAAGGCAGAAAAAAACAGGAGTAGAACATGAGGAAGTCTACCTTGGGGCTCCGTTTTGTTTCATGTTGCAGTGAGGAACAGAGGGTGAGCAACCACAGGCTGAGTTACCTCCCTGGAGTGATTGAACAATTCAGTAATGCATGAGTGTCATTCTGTATGTTTGAACTCCTCATTTGCTTATTGGCACCATAGTCCCTTATCTCTCTCCCTCTCGAGTTTCTTTCTCTTCTTTGACCTTTCTAGCCTCCTTATTTCATGCGTGCACATTCTTGTCTTTTTCCTCCTGCCTCTTCCCTCTTCGCCATTTGGACAGACTGTATCAGCGAATCCCTCTACAGTGTCGTATCTAACTTTTTTATTCATTGCATGATTTATTTTTAGCCTGAAACAACTGCATCCTAAAAATGGAGTTCCTAATGAGACAGAGGCTGAGCAGAGCTATGTAAGGTATCTGGGGCTTGGCCTCCCAGCCTCCCTAGCTTGGCTGTTTTTCTACTCTCGCGCGTGCGTGTGTGTGTGTGTGTGTGTGTGAGTGAGTGTGTGCGCCTCTGCTCTTTGTCCTGAGCCCACGATTCCAGAGCTGGCTGGACCCAAGGAGGTGAAGAGTCACTTCTCCGCCCCAGGAAGGGCAAAGAAGAGAGACAAAGTCAGCCTGTCTGCTCCCTGCTTGGCTCAACAAGGCCTCTAATAGTCTTCTGTCCTTTCTTCTGCACACGGCATATTTGGGAACAAGAAACAAAAATTTTTCCAAATGAAGAGAACTCACTTGTTTATTGTGGGGGTTTATTTTCTGTCCTCTTGCAGGGCGGAAGAGGGGCTTAATTTCCCCACATATGATGGGAAGGACCGAGTGGTAAGTCTTTCCGAGAAGAGCTTCAAGCAGGTTTTAAAGAAATATGACTTGCTCTGCCTCTACTACCACGAGCCGGTGTCTTCAGATAAGGTCGCGCAAAAACAGTTCCAACTGAAAGAAATCGTGCTTGAGGTAAGTAATCAAAGGGCGTGCTGTCCGCGCTGCCTCAGTGAGGTGCTGAGGGAATGCCTTTGGCCAGGGGTTGGGATATGGGAACGAGGATGCAGAGAATATATACTGAGGTCTGCTTTATTTTGGCCTCATGTGAATCAGATGCCCTTGTTGCACAGCTGGGGTGTGTGAACAATGAGGGGTGGGTCCTAACTCTTCAAATGAAGAGGACCAAACGTGCTACACTATGATGGGTCTGATGTAAAGTCTCTATGGCCCCCTTGACTTTTCAAGGGCCCTTGTCCCAGTCACTGTTTCCCAGATAGAATGCAGAAACTGTTGTTAAAACGGTTGGCTGAAATGAAATCCAGGGACTACTTGTGGATGTCACTCAGTGTGCCCACTCTGCTCCCTCAAATCTCCCTGTGATCCTGGAGAGACCAGAGTTACTTGACCTTGCCTCTCTCTGGGGGTCAGATGGAAATATCACTAATGACTCTCCTCTCTTGTGATTTGCCGTCAGTCAGCATTACAGAATGTAGTTGTGTGCAGATTTTCTGAGCGGCATATTCATTATGTGATTTTTTTTTTTTTTCCTCAGAAAGTTGTTGGTGTGACTTTAGGGCAGAGCTGAAGTCAGTTCTTATTTTATCCGCATTACATGGCCTGCCTGTTTGTAACCTGGCACTGGGGCCCATTTTCTTATCCTTTGCGAGTGCCCCAGAAACTATTCCTGCAGCTCCTCCTGGACAGCTTAAGATGGCTTATACTTTAAGAGTGCCTGAGGGTGCCAAGAATGCTAGTGGGCACCAAGATGCCTCATCAGTCCCCATGCCTAGCCCAGGCACAAACCTGTGAAAAGGATATTTGAGAATTACAGTTTATTAACCAGTGCAATCAGAAACTCAGGTTGATGAACAGTTTGATTAACAGAATTATCGTATAAAACCCATGTGGATTTGAATTTTTTCCAATTGAAACATTGACTGTCATAAAATCCAGCAAAACTATCCCAAATACATCAAAAATATATTTCCAACCTTGAGTGCTGAATGTGGAAGTTCAGTTCTCTCTGTGGGTTGCAAGAAAAGAGAAAGCAGGGATAGTTATTAAGACTTATTCTATAGAATGAGCAAATCACAGGCTGGAAAGAACAGGACATAGAACTTAGCTGCTGCTTAGCCCATGAAACCAACACTTACATTGTATCTCCATTTCAAACTGCCATACTCAGTTATCAAGAGACATTGTTATGAAACTTAATAGAAGGCATAAGGATTCTCCCCTATATGCTCATTGCTGTCCAGTTAGCCTAGAACTCCAAAAGATTGCCTTGGTTGGCCAGTACAGTCAAGGACATTCATTTCTGATTCTAATTTTTTAAAAAGAAATCTCTTTCTATCATCTATCTATCTATCTATCTATCTATCTAATCTATCTATCTATTATCTATCTATCTCTAGCTCCCCAAGTATATGTTCCCCAAAGACTATGCAAATCATGAACAGGAACTTCCCCTGGGCTTACATCCCTCCAGACACCTTTGATTCAAGAGTGCCCTTTCACAGTTGGGTGCCAGCCAGCAGAGACCGATAAGGAAAAGTTCACGACAGGAGTTAATTTGATGCCCCTAGGCTGCTAAAGCTGGAGTGAGGCATCATTAGGAGAAAAAGAACACAGAACTTGAAGTCAGGATATCCGGATTAAGTTCTGGCTTTGTCTCTACTAGGCATAGGACGCGGGCAATTACGTAATTTCTCAGAGCCTCATTTTCTATCTATAAATATAGAAAAATAATACTACATGCAGGCTTAAGAAATGATTAAATAATAATAATGTTAATTAAATGCTTACTAAGTACAGGGATGTCCTAAGCACTTGGTATGTGTTAGCTTGCTTAATCCTTATCTATTATGTAGGTTACAGTTACCAATTCCATTTTATAGATGGGGAAACTGAAGCAGAGAGGCTAAGTTGTCCAAGGTTACACAGCTACTGCAGATGAAGCAGTACGTGATACCTATACTGCGCCTCTCCTGAAATCAGTGTGAAAATGCCCAAAGGGCTTCTGGGTAGACTGTTTAAGATGGTTTCAAGAGTCTTCCTTAAACAGAGTTGCTCAGCCTCTGGGCCCGGGTCTGATGATGCCAGCTGTACCACCAGCATGGCCGAGAAGTACATGGCCTGGAGGCACTGCTTATGCAAAAGTCCAAACCGAGGCGGAGGCCTGGGCTCCATTAGTGAAGGTGAGGAAGGGGCAGGCCTTTGTTGAGATACTTGTCAGGTGCAGCATCAAGGAAAAAATGGCTCCAAGAAGTCCATGATGGAAGAGTGAACACGTCTTTAAACTTTTGTCATCGTCAAAATAACTATTTGTCCTCTTAATCCTCTAGACCCCACACTTGCACTAAGAAAAATAGTCTGCCAGCTTCCAGGGCTGTGGCTGTTAGGGGGTAGGGGGAAAAGAGGAGGTAGTTCCCAGTGTCCATCCATCAGGCAGTGTGGTCTCAGCCATGGCAAATAGCTGGAGGGGAGGCGGCTCCCTTCCCCCTTGCAGCTTAAGGCAGCTTCTGACACTTTTTATTATAACTGACTATGACCCAGTACACCACAGACACACACACACCAGAACAAAAATTTCATGGAACTATACTTATTATTATTACCTGGGGAATTAAAAAATTTTTTTCTATTTTATCCCGTTCTCTTCTATTTCACTTTAAAAATCGATCTCAACCTATTAAGTTGATTTCGCTCTCCAGTGAGAGTGCCATCCCTAGCTGAACAGCTGAGGAATTTCTAGGACTTAGAAGCTCATAGCTCCTCACACTAGGCCACCCCATTGTAAGAAACTCCAAGGGCGCTATGGCCAGTCACGTATATTTTGTCTGCATCTCTAAGGGATGTCAATGAAAAGAGCCAGAAACAGCTTCATCCAAGAGCCAGGAGGTCACTGCCTGATGAGGGGCACTTGAAATGCCATTCAATTAGTCATGCATGTGCCACCTACTTTATGTTGGGGTGCTGGGATAGATGCTGTGGATACAGGGAACATGAGACCCTCAAGTGGCTCACAGCTGAACACGGAAGAAAACACGCGAACTAAGAGCTACAGTGCAGGGAGGTTGCTGTAACAATAGAGCAACTTGTAAGTTTCTCGGGGAGAGTAGAGGAAAGAGGAAGAGCCAGAACTGGTTTGTGAAATGAGTAAGAATTACTGGTAAAACAGCACATATTCTGATGGCTCTCAAGTATTTTTCCACCTGCTAGCTTTTTCCTAAAATTTGGCCAAGAGGGCCTCATTTCTTTAGGGTAAGATTTTTGTCCCGACTTAGTCAAGGTCCTCTGGGAGAGGTAGACCTTTGAGATGTTGCCAATCACTTACATCCCCTGAATCTGAATTTGTCGTGAGAACAGGACTTGACAAGGGGAAGAGGAGAAGGGGGAGAAGATAAGGTCTATGCAGCTTAGCAAGAAATAGGCAAGTTATATGACACCAGGAGGCAGCAAACTCAAACTTTGCTTTCCGGTCTGGCCAGAGTCCAGTTCTGGAGGGCCCAAGGGTCAGTGTATGATCCATAGTTCCATGCAGATGTTCTACACATGCTTGTTGAATGAGTGAATGAATGTTAGAGCTCAAAAGAACTGTGGAAGTCATCTAGGTTGCTCTGAACCCCTCATTTCATAGCTGTAACCCTGACTTAAACAGCTGGTAGTTCTGATTCCTGCTTGGCTTTCTTCATCAACAAAGTAGCATATACTCCCTTAGATTTCAGAGTATGTGAAAAAGAACTAAAAGGCAATAAAAGTAATCACACCAAAATAAACATGGATAATGTTCTGGTAGATTTCTTTCCAGTTTTTTTTTCTGTACATAAGTACACATTTTTCAATTTGGAATTCTACCATTTATACAGTTTTGTTTCCAGCTTTTCTTCACATCCGTATATTGTATTTCTATATTATTAAACAGTAATGTTAATACCAGCATAGTATTCCAGTGTATCATCATACATATTTTAAAAATAATTACCATATATTTGGATCCTGACATAATTTTTAGAGTTTTAAAAATCTTTATTTTTTCATTATTGTTTTAATGAACACTTCTTTTTGATTTCTGGCTAAAGTTTTCCATAAAATTGTTTTGCCATTTATATATTTTTTTCTTCCATAAATTATTTTTCTATGCCTTTTCTCATTTTTCTACTGGGATGTCAACACAAATTATAAAAGGAGTTGCAATTTTGCATGCTGTCTCTTGCAGCTTCCGCCAAGATAGTTAATTTAGTCACACCACAGTGGCCAACTTCCACTAGCATTACAGGACTCAGAGACAGAGGAGATGGTCAGGGAATTCAGTTTCTCCTTGTGGCTTTGTTTCCTGCTTCCTCTTTTTTCTTGAGACTGCTGTGCAAGCCGCTGCTCCTATCGTGTCCTATAAATATTGCCAGAGAAAAGTCCTTCAGCATCACCATTTCCCTGAGGTTGAAGTGCTTGAGAGATGGCATGCTCTAACATGAGCTTCCAGATCAGATAGACCTGGCTTCCTTATTTGCAAGGTGGAGATGACAGTGCTGTTGTGAGGATTGAATGAGGCTGCCCAGCAGGAGCATAGCTCTGGCACACAGAAGATACTTAACAAATGCTGGCTTCTTTCAGCCCACACTCACTATTTTGTCAGGATTCTAAACACAGTGCAACCAACCCCATCAGTTTACAAACTGAGGAAACCAGGCCTTGGGAGCTGGGGACTGGAAATGCATTGCCATCTTGCTTATTCCCAGCCAGTTTGATTCACTCCTCCTCTTACTGCTTATTCACTCCTCCTCTCTGGGGCTGGAGAGGAGGAGTGACTTGCCGGTGGTCACAGGCCGCTCTCAATGTACCCCTGTTTGGCATTCCCTCTGCTCTCAAGGCTTTGCTGAGCCTGTGTCAGCTATGTTCAACCACCTCATCAATATCATTTATTAAATTAGGCTTTGCCCCATTTTCAGACATGGTTCAGTCTCACCTACTTC